CTTGGGTCCCACGCCATACAAGGAAGCCCAACTAGATATCAGTTAGGAAAGTTAAGTGAGCACATAAGCTTAATGGGCCTAAAGCCCATTTCGAATTAGACTTATTTAATAAGTTAAATATGGGCAAATTCTGAGATGGATCAGCAGATAGGATAGGGTTAAGACCCTATCCACTCAGAGAGTCCAGATCTGAATATGCTTCAGATCTAAAAACCTCCTAATGAGATTAGGAGAAGGTTGATCTAATCTGCAGATAAGATAAGGGTTTATCCTTATCACCTAAAGAAAGGTCTGATCCAAATATGATTTGGATCAGCAGCTCTCAATTGGATTAGGAGCTAATCTTTTAGGGTTACAAAAGCAGGGTAGAATCACATAATCAAATCCTCTTCAGAGCTGAAAATCACAAGGAAGAATTCAGCAACCCTACTAAATTCTTTGTTGCTGCCTCCTTCCTGTCGCCGCCTCATCTGCCAGTTCGACTTCCAGTTCAGTGGGAGAAATAAAGATTCGATCTTGACATCAGTTCCTTGAGAAAGAACTAATAGGAAGCTGTGCTCACGTGCCATCCTGTTGTTTCTTGTGAAGGACAGAATTCTTGGAGAAGAATACTGCTGATTCTGCTCCATCCTACACTGCGCCATCTTCAGTGGGAGCAGTCTTTGGATCCTTCCTTGGGCGTGAACACCTTCATTGGGAGATACTTTTTCTCCATATCAGGTATAATCCTCTCCTACTCCCTTTGGTTCAGATCTGGTTCAATTTATGGTTCAAGATTGATCATTGAAAATATGATTTTCTAAATAGGGAATGTGATTCCCAGTTAAAAGGGAGAGAAAAATTTTTGAAATTCGCCCCTTTATTCCGCAAGATTTGGACGTCCATACGATTAATCTCTCATCCCTTCATTAGATTAGACCAAATTCAATCCAATTTACAACCTTGCATATCATACAAACACATTAATATCGAGCCCGATTTGCACTTGCCATGGATCTCATATCCGAGGCGCACATTCAAAACATCTCTCTTATTTGTATATTATTATATATGTGAAATATTCTTAATACATGTTGGATGTGGCTGTAATATCACTATTAAGAGAGCTTTATGAATTGCAAATCCCAATTCATTAATGTCATAGGGTTCGGATCTGCTGACAGCAAGGCCACGGGCATCCTACCACACGTCACTAAACATTGGCTGTAATTTCAAAAACCGATATTCCCGATGTATAATTGGATGCGTGTGCCCAGCAGCAATGTGATGTGATCAGCATATCCGAACTTATCATTTGCATGTGATGCTGCCCACGGACATAGTGCATCAACCCCGTCAGATCGGATCATTTGCATCAATCCGATGGAAGATGTTCCCAATGCACGGATGCAAGTGGACGGTGGAGGACAAATTTTGAGATGATCAAATCCGGATTCTCAATTAATGGTGATGATAGTTACTTTTAACCTCAGCGTGTTCGTTATTTTGTATCCTTTATCCGTATATTTCTTTTTTCCTTCAGCATTTGTTTCCTTGACACTGAAAAGAGATCTTCTGTCACAGGGTTTCGAGCTCCTCTCTCCCGGTTCGAACGATTTCTCGTCGTTTGGATACTTTTGGTATTCGTGGCTTCACTCAGGTTTGTTTCAACGGAATCTCGATTCTTTTACCGCAATCTCGCATACGATTCGACACGACGTTTTTTTCCTTCTGTGCTGCTCTTTCGGCGGCAAGATTTCAAGAAATGTATGACATCTTCGATAAAATACTTCGTTTCTGTGTTCTTTTCTCTCTCGATTGTAGTTTGCTATATGTCTCGGTTTATGGGATTGCGTTCTAATCATTTTTCGTTGTAATATGTTGATAAATTGTTGGAAAATGAAGCCCTGGAGATATTGTATGGTGGGCTCAGACTCAGGTCGTTCCTTTCAAGAAGAAGGAGAAGAACAATCGATTATGTTCCGCCCGTTTCTCGATTAAATATAAGAAAAAGAAAAAGAAAATCTTGTTGTGCATAACCTAGCAATCTCTTATGTTTTCCATGATGGAATTTGGCCTCTCATTCATGGTTATTTATCTATTTATTTATTATTCTTCATCCCTTATTTATCTATTTATTTATTATTCTTTATCCCTTGTTTGGTTGAGAGCGTTGAAAACTATCAGTTGGCTAAGTAGCTTGTATCCCTCCTCCCCTTAATAAAACGAAAGAAGAGAAAAAGCAAAGTTACTAGGCCGATTATTAGAGACCTTTTTTAAAAAAAAAAGAAAAAGAAAATTATAGACTTTTATTTTGGATATGGGAACCTGTAATTGTACAGCAACTTATCTGAGGAGAGTATTGCCCCGCTGCTGAACAGAATCTACTACTGTTGCTTGCCATTTGATTATTATGTTGCTTTCTCCTTCTGATGTTTAGTCCAAAAGAAGTTCCTGCTATGCATTTAGAGACTTGCTTTTTAGTTTATAGGTTTTGGAGTTTGGGTGTTTTCTTATATGATTTCCTTGTCTAGTTGATGGTGTGCTGATTTGAGAATTGTGCGCACTTTGGAAATCCTTATGTACTCTAATATTATTGATAATAATAGGAGGAGAAAAAAGAAAGAAAAGTAAGATTCATGGTCTCTTATGCTTCTTCATTCAAGCAAATATTTGGATTTCTTAACAAGGATGCAGAATCGGGAGAAAATGTACAATAAGAGATGCATTCTCGTATAAGAAAGTTCTCCACCATGATAGGGTAGCATATGGACTATTTTAATAGTTTTTACTTTTTATAGAGTGTCTGTGAGTCGATTTTTCATCTTTGTGAGTTAGACTCCCTAACACATGTCAGATTCTGATTCCCATGTCTATGTCCAAGCAACACTGCTCTTAGGAATCAATGACTACATCCCTGTATGAGTTCCTTTTTATCATACAACTTTGTGGCTAGGTCAGTGTCAAGTTCTTTGAAATCTTGTGTCCTTTTTCATTTACACATTTTTCTATGTACATTTTAGCCGTAAATAGATAGAAACAGATTTTAAACTACGGAACTTAGGGCTGTAAATGAAATGGATTTACAACCATCAGAGTTTGGTTCAATTAGAAAAATGCATGTATTTAATTCAATTCAAAATCCAATTGTAGCTATGGGGTGTTGGATCAAATTTGAATCGGATCTTCGGATCTAATGCAAGTTTGATAATCTTTTATGTGCCTTATCAGATTCTAGTTTGTCCCCCTGTTATATCCTTTAGTTTTACAGAAACAAAAAAAAAAAAAAAAAACGAAGAAAGAAAAAAGAAAAAGGCAAAAAAGATCCCTAATACAAACAAAAACAGGCAAAATGCTTTTCCATTGAAATGCAGTACACAAATTGAGAAAACAGAAAATTAGAAAAGAGGATGAGAGTGGACTACTCAAAAACCAAGCTGACAAAAATATGGATAAATAAAAATGGAAAAGAAAAAAAAAGGCATAGTAGAATTAGCTGCTTTCTTTTAATTTATTGCACCTTGCAAGTCATGAGTGGCTTAGTAAAATATGTATCTCTTTCTACTTTGTTACAACGATTGGTGGTGAAATATGATTAAGTTTTTTTTTTTTTTTTTTTTTTTTTTTTTTTTTTTTCTCTTTTGGGTGGGATTAGATTGGGGGAGATGATGCACACTCCTTGCAAATCTTCATTTCCTCCTTCAAATCTATTCTCTAACAGTGTGAGAGGCTTTACTAGAGCTTTACTGGTTTGGTTGATGGTTGCATATTAGAATGAGAAAATATGATTTACAGAACCTTTTGATAGGGGTTCCTTGGAGGTATCTAAAAGTCACAGCAAGTTTTATACATTGCCAATAGAGTAGGGAGGTTTTAGATTTCCCTTAAAATAAATACCAATCAATGGGAGAATATTCCATGGATGTATGCTGGGGTAGGTTGGTAAACTAACATCCCAAGTATGTAATGCATGTTTTAGTTGGACTTGGATCTTAATTAGAACCAATTATTAAATAGTTCCTGCTTACATTGCCCAAGTTTGGTTTGTTTCTCTGTCTAGACCATCCATGTTTGAATAATTAGATAGGGGTGCAGACTTTTGGATCCTGTTGACAGGCCTAATGACACTCCTTGATACAATAAAAAAAATGTAAGAATGATATTCTATGGGAAGCATGAGGAACATGCATAAATGAAAGCAGTGTTTCATGGACTCTTCTAAATAGTTGAAGTGTCTGTGTTGGGCATATGTTGGATTGTAACACTCCAATGGATTCTTGAGGAACACTTCTTCGTAACATTTTCCTTTCTCTTTGTATTTGACATAAATGAACAGTTAATTACATAATGTTATTCTTTAAAAAAATATGGACTGTTTTAACAGTGTATACTTGCGTAAAGATGTATCCACCAGTCCTGCTTTTTTTTCTTGCCAAGTCAGATTCCCAGACAAGCAGTTGTTTTTTGATTCCCTTGTTTGTACCCATGCAATGTGGAATAAAAGATATATGTACTTGTTTTTTGTTTATGTTTTCACAGGATACAGTTAATTTCCACCTGTATATTACTTATCTGTTTCAGTATCTTTGATGATGCAGCATTATTTGGATTAAGCTCCTGCTTTTTATGTACTTTGTTTGTACCAAATAAATATGAGGAAGTATATGGCATCAGATGCTCCAGGTATTTTGGATGAAAGTAATGAAGAACCAAATGAGCAATTAACTGAGGAAGAAGAGGATTCAACTGAGGACCCATCAGAAGAATCTGTTTCTTGGTCATCTTCAGACAGCCACAATCATGGAAATGGAAAGCCAAATGAGGAACCAGGTGCCAAACAACAGGAGCAATCAACAGAACTATCTGAAGATCCTATTTCTCAGCCATCTGCTGACAATGACAATGATATGACTGAACATCAAAGTAAGGAGCTGACTGAAGCTACATCTAGGCCTTCAGGTGGTTACATTGATGATAGTGAGCACAAATTGGAATTTCATCCAATCATTTTGAATGAAAAGAAACGGGAACTAGATGCAATAGCAGATGACTCAGTTCCATTGCTGGTTTTTCCTTCAGAAAAGAAGTGCAAGCGAGAGCAGTTCTTGGAATCAGATGACAGGTCTTCTGTTACAGAGATCCAGAACAAGTCTAAAACTTCCAAGGCCTTTGTTGCTGATGAACATGCTTCCGAGCAACAGGAACATACAGGAAGTTCAGGAAAACGAAGACGGAGTAGATGGGATCCACAGCCTGAGAATGAGGGGGAAGCAGATGGTCATATGACTAGTAAAAAGAAGAAAACCAGGTGGGATGGTGATGATTCTCAGATAAAAATGCTAGGCCCAATTCAACTCCCAGACTTTGTGAAGGAATCTAATTCTGAAGCTGTCAATGATCCTGAAATTAAGAAGTTGAAGATGAGGCTTATAGAGATAAATAGGAAATTGCAAGGATCAGAGATCCATGATGACAGGCCAGAGGAAGAAAGATCCCCATCTCCCCCTCCACTGTATGATAACTTTGGAATCAGAATAAACTCAAGGGACATCAGATCCCATCAGAAGCTTATCCAAGAAAGGCAATGTATCGTTTCAATGTTGATTCAAAAGAATCCCACCTTTAAACCTCCCTCTGACTACAAGCCCCCAAAACTCTACAGGAAACTTTACATACCCTTGAAGGAATATCCTGGATATAATTTCATTGGTCTTATATTAGGCCCTCGTGGGAACACACAGAAGAGAATGGAGAAGAGAACTGGGGCCAGGATTGTAATAAGGGGTAGAGGATCAGTGAAAGATGGGAAGGCAAAACAAAAACCTGATCCATCTGATAATGATGACCTACATGTCTTGGTAGAGGCAGATGACCAGAAGTCATTGGATGAAGCAGTTACAATGGTTGAAGATCTGCTAAATCCAGTGAGTGAGAGGATGAATGAGCACAAACGTGCACAGTTACAGGAGCTTGCTGAGCTGAATGCAATGGTTAGAGATGTAAATTCACCAAAGGTCATGGGTGAACAGGGACATGAGCCTAGGTCATACACTAGTGGATCCAAATATGCAGTTGCTTGTGATACATGTGGTAGCAGAAACCATGCAACTATAGGTTGTCCCTTGACTGCTTCAGCACCTGGTAGCCATGCTGACAACCAATATCGTAGCTTTCTTGCTGATCTTGGGGGTGGAATGGGCCCCAACTTCAGCACCTCACCAATTTCTGGTAGCACTCCCCATGGTTTTAGTAGTTTTGGCTTTGGTACGAACTCTTGTTATTATTCTCAACCCAGCATAAATTTGACTCCAAATATGGAAGACAAGTACAACAATGTTGATGAAAGGAAGCTGTATGTGGGTTGTCTTCCTCAAAGTGTGGATGAAAACAAGTTATTTGAGATGTTCTCGCCTTTTGGCAGGCTTACTGAAGCAAAAGTAATAAAAGAAAGAACCACAGGTTTGAGCAAAGGCTATGGGTTTGTTAGGTATGATGATCCTACAAGTGCTGCTAGAGCTGTGACATGCATGAACGGTCGAAGTTTTGATGGCAGAATGTTGGCAGTGAGAGTAGCCAGTTGTCCAGTAGCAGTGGGATCCTCGGTGAATAGCCTTTCAAAGTATGAAGGCCCCTCGGCACTATTTCAAGATAGCCCTGGTCAAACAGGCTGGCCAGGTCCACCAGGTTCATTGCTGACTGAATCTCAAACTTCCTGTTTCAAGGGTGACTGGTTAGGTTTTCCTCATTCCTCCACCTCACCGCAACATGGTACTTTAAGTAAACAATTCCATTTATCTTATGGGTCATCATATGACATTCAGATCTCATCACCTGTTTCTTTTGCAAGATTTCCTGGTAATCCAAATTATGGTTCCTAATATTGACAGCTGAAAGGAAGATAGCCATATGGTACATATTCAGAAGGTTGCTTTGGTACCTACAAATTTCTTCTCTGTTACTTTTGCTACGAGTTTGAAAATTACTTCCCACTACAAATTTGAAAATTACTTCCCATGTGACGGGTAATTTCCATCTCCAAATGTTAAATGTAATTTCCCCCTTTTTTCCTCGTCTCCTTTCTTTTGGAAATTGCTTTAGGCATTTAATTTGTTTTGCAAGATGAACAAATTTCTCAATCAGTGTATGCTCTTAAATATTCTTAATGCAAGCTTCTACCAAAATATCTGTATAAACATCTCATCTGCTGAGGTAGTTGTGGTCAAAGAAATTGGTGCATTCATCATTCACACCACGGGCTTTTTAGCACAAGGGGAATGGGCGTGTCATGAATACATGTCCTAGCTGTACATGGGTGCAATCCAGCATCGCAGCAATTGGCATGTCTCCACTCTCCACTGTGGACAATTCTCCGGGAACTCCATGGGGACTTCTGCCAAGGAAGCTTTCCACAAAGTGAGAGTCCCTGCGTGAAATTTCTCCTGGTTGGGAAACTGGGAATATATGAGAGTTTTTTTTACTGGGTTTTTATCTTAAAAAATATAAAAAATGGAGATGGGAGACATTCTATCTTGCACGTTTCCAAATGGTGTTACGTAAGAGGGACATATACTATCCCTAGGCTGTGATTGGTTGCAATGCAAATAAATTTGCACTGGTATAAAACTATGGCGGGATATAAAATTTGATCTATTCTTGTTTCAAATTTTAATTTTTTTGTTTGATTGCAGTACAAATGAAGTGATTTGAATATAAATCAAAGCGTGATGCAGATATGCAAAGAATGAGAATATGACACTCATCTCATCTCTAGTGGCCTATGAGCACAAAAGCAATGCTTGATTTCTAAGTCGAATTGTTTACCAAAATAAAAAAGATTTCTTGGCCGAAGTATGCAAAGGATATTAAGACTTTCCTGTCTGTACCTATTTTTCATTATGCTTTAAATTTCATCACAGATTTAAGCAGATAATGCTTGCTGATGTTCATCTGGCAATTTATTTCACGTTCTAAAAAGACAATTTATATTCAAGAGTTAAAAAATGACGATATATAATTTGAGTACACGAAATTGCTAGTTTCCATAGTTCGTACCGGCACAAGATTTCATTTCTATTCTAAAATATTACATATTTAACTTGCACTACTGCTTACTGCTGGTTGTGCAGCACTTATTTTTACCAATGTAAAAATTACAATGACATAAAATTGAACACATGAAATTGCCGTTGCCATAAATTTAAGAGCTTTGATTGTGCATAGCAAGGAAGAGAGCTGTACAATTGCTCTTCTGTATCCTCGGGGCTGGTAACTGTAATCAAAATGGAAGAACAACTTCAAATCAGTGGTAGCACAGGGAGAAGAAAGAAGAACAAAATAAAACAAAGCAGAAACACAAATCTAGATTGGTGGCTTTTCCCTTTTTCTTTCTCCTATCCTTTTTTTACCCTCTTTCCATTGATCTGCACTGCTAGTACAAGGAGACCATTCAGATTGCATTTGTCATCTGTTTTTAGGTACAGTTGATAAAAAATAATTTCTACTGCATTTTTATTTATTACTATTAGTTTTGTCACCGATAAAAAACCATTTCATTTTGTGCAAAATCTACTTTAGGCAGATGTATGTTTCCACATTTACATAAGGTTCTAGTATAGATTTTCCCTTGTATTTAGGGAAGGATTTAGATACAAATAACAAGAGAATCTATCAGTCACTACTTTATCAAGTCTATCCTATTTATTTCAATTTTTGAAAGACCTAGGGACCGTTTGTCAAGTCTTTTTCAAAAGATCTTCTGGAAGTTTTGACAGTCAAAAAACGATATGAGCTTTTGCATCAACATCTTAACAGCTTTAAGACTGTTTGGTTAAGGCGCACCTGTCCACACGTCTTTCTGCGCGAAAATGAGTTGAAAAAAAGGCAAAAAGCTTCATTTGGAGCTTTTCGAAAATAATTCAAAATGAACTTCCCATATCTTTTCGGAGCTGTGGCTTTCGGCGGTCAGATTTATTTGAAAATAGTGAGTGCCACTACTAGCGACCTACTGATTGGGTTTGATTTGATTCGTGTAATACTTAAATCAAATCTCATGAATTGAAACTGAAAGCATCAATTTCACAGTTTTGGCACAGGTAAACTGTCCAACCACCTGTTCTAGATATCAATAAGTTTTAGGGCTAAAACCAAAAATAAAGGCTTTAGATGTATTGCAGTAGCTCCACCAAGAACTTACTTTATCTAATTCAAGGTGGAGCCATGACAACACATCAAAGGTTTTGATTTAGTTGTTTCAGCACATCAAAACAAAGAAAAGCAAGGTTACTCTACAAGGGATTGCAGCTGACCTTTGTGACCCACCGTTCGCTCTGATTCATAGATTTCATAGTCGTTTCCTACCTGAAGATGCAAACTCTAGCTACCTTAGTCCAACAAATATTGTTAAATATATAAGCATAATGAAAATCATCAAAGGATGAAATAAGAAACTATAGTTGAACAAAAAGGTTACCTTGTAAGTTTTGTCCCCAAAGAAGTGAATTTCAAGAAAATCGTCAAGGTATCTCAAGCAATATGTCTTGTCCCAACCATTGGGAAATACCTGTGACAAATATTTTTCAAAAAATAAATTATACTCCATAGATTTATCCCTGTAGATTTTTGTTTTTAACTCTCTCTCTTGAAGAACAGAAACCATTTTTGGCCGTATGTTGTGAACCTGAATCATATTTTTCGCAGATGAAAAAAGGGATCTTGATTATTAAGCAAGTATTTCCAGTTATTTATTGGAAAAGAAAAAGTTTATACCTTATCATACTTTTCGAATTCATCCCGCTCTTCCTGACTGCAATTTCTCCCAATCGGTGATACATTAAGCATCCCACTTCGGAACTCTATGAATGTTCCCCTGGAAAGCAAAAGAGAGAATCATATTCTGATCTTTTAGTTAACTTACAGGAATATTAGTGAATTTTACCAACCTTTTTATTGGGATATCCAAATCAGCAATATAATGGAGTGTAAAATCAATAAACTCCTGCAAAATTTTCAAGAGGTAATAAAAACTTCATAATTACAAAATATAATCCTGGTATCTTCCAGGTAAACCCCCACTACGTTACCAAAGAAAATCAACCTAAGTAGTGCACATGCAGAGGATGAATATAATAAAATGGCCCCAGCTTAGGAATCTAGCAATGTCAATTCGAACCAAGGCATGAATAGGCCAGTTTTGAGAATTTGTTTTATGGGAATCCTTACCTTTACTTTAGGGTAGTGATTTGGCACATCCCATTTCTGATAAAGGGGAAAGCCCCTGATCATGAAACAAAAAATGTACAAATTGTAGAAGATAAAAATATCACCAAGCTTTGACCTTTATACCATTACAAACAACGGTTTAATTGTCTTATACAAACACGGATGATATAGCATATATGACATAATTTTGCTTGACACGAGATATTTTCTAGCCAGGATAATCTGACTTTGGATCCCAACCCCTGCATATGTACCGGCATGCCATTAGTAAACCATACTTGGGGGCTAACCAGAAGCAACCTATGTTTAAATATAAATTCTCTTAAAGAGAAGCCATTGGTAATACAGGGAAAATCTCACCTTGAGTTTTTCTTCTCCAAGGAATGATTTCAAGCTCTGACAGAGAAAAAAGAATCCATGTTTCACTAAATGGATAGTTCTCATACAAGAAAATAGAAAATGCATATAGTAGTGATTAAATGAAATTGGTAGACTGCTTAAGAACTCCAAGCTTTATTTCGAGGGATAATTAATATTTAATATGATAGTTGGTCGTATATGATTATATGCTTACACATACATACATCCTAAAGTAGTCCAGAAGAAGAATAGCACCAAAAGAGATGACTGATAAGGTAGTTACAGCTAAAAACTTCTCTACATTCATGGTTTTGGTTGTTTCATGACTAAAGGGTATTGATATTGAAGCAAATGCCCACTTTGGTAAAGCAGTTTGATGATAACATATAGAACTGCAAATCTACTAACCTAAGATGCATTATAAAGGCTAGGGGTACAAATGCTTGATCAGGTAACATGGATGTAAGCTTCATTTCTTCAAATCTGTGACATGGACATCAATCCATATAATTTTGATAGTGTAGTTGACTGTATTTTATCATTTCTTTAAGAAAGAATAAAAAAATCATATATTTGTTTGATGCAAATGTCATCAAAATTTTAATATATACAAATGCATTAAGATTATCTCAACATAACTTGGAAACAATACCTGAGTGTGCGACAAGGCCATTTTCAGAGAAGACATAATCATAATCATGATAACTGCAAGGATAAGAAATGATCATTATAAAGCTTCAAACATGGTAACATGGAAAGTTGGAAACTAACACATTCACTTGGAGATTCAGTCAAAAGCTATGCCTTATAAAACAGTATAAAGTTAGACAAATATGATAACAAGTAAGAATAGTTTGCAAATAAAGTGCAACAATTTTAGTTGAATTCCTATTTCGGACAAGTCATACATTTTATGATTTCACAACAGATGATACAGAATTTCAGGGTTTTTCATGGTATCCAAGTCAGTTTTATAATGTAAAATTAAAAGGGAAATGAGAGCAAAGATAGAAATTCAACCAGATCCCTCTAAATGCATGATAAAATAGATAGTTCACTGTTCACATTCAATGGCGTTTAAGTGAATATTATGGATCCTGGAATTGTAACTTATCATTCAATTATATGATTAAATTTTATTTACTATGGTTCCAAATTCAGGGTAAAAATTTCCAGCATTATCACAACACGTATCAATCAAGACTCGCTAGGAAATGATGCAAGCCTTTTCTTAGCTTCCTGCTTTTCTGCTTGAGGACATCTAAAGGAAATATAATCTGAAGTGATGACCTTTGTCCATTCATACAAACCGGAAAGTCGGACAAAAGGGAAAGAAACCATAACCCAAAGACTGACCAGCTGAGCCCAACTACCTCTGCAACCAGTAACCATTAACAAATTTTGCTGCTCTACTTGACAAGGCCCCCAATAAAGATATTGCCTCTTTACTCCTCTTTCCAGACATCTGCTAACATTAATTAATTGATCTTGGCATCCACCCGAATGAGCAGTTCTTCCTTAATGTCAGAGATTTTATTTCCCTTAGGAGATATCTAATGGCCCAAGGACCATCTGGTTGTGACAGCATCCTGATGCAGTCAGTTGATAACAGTTTGGGAGTCGTCAAGTGTAACAATCCAGTTGATAACAATTTGGGATTCAACAAGTGCTCAATATTTTCAAGAATGTAAATGGACAAATAGCAACTACTCAAGCAGGAAACAATACCGAGATGAGCAATGGAGAAAAGTGCATCCTTTCTGACAAGGGGATTCAAGTTATATGGGCATTCAAGTTGCAAGGCATGCTACAAAATATGGGAACCAGCAAGATCTGTTTTGCCAAACCTTGCTTTTAAGGCTAAATTCTATTTGGGCATCCAAGTTACCTTTAAGCATATGAAAAAGGTCAGGGGCAATAAAAAACAAACCTGTTCTACCAAGCTGCTCTGATATCTTAGCAAGATCAGATCCTCCAACCACACCAACTGTCACAACCTGCAATTGGAATAACCTGTTGTAATATAAATGGGATCTATTACGGAATGGTACTGTCCTTATCCTTTCTGCTATACAGATATGAAGGCGGCATGACCAAGTACCTCGCGAAGCTTCTGCGTGAACTCTAACATATTTGGAGTTGCTACCTAACATTCAATAGAGACAAACTGACTAAGAGATAGAACTACAGAAACCAGTTTTTAAGTTTCCACAATAACTATACAACTCAAGCTTTTCGAACAAAAACAAGGAGGTTGAGTAAGGCAATATCAACAAAATTGTTACTAGAAGATTCGGTCAAGTCTCGAGAAAAAAAATTAAAAAAACTTGGCAACTACTGACCCCAGAGAGGGGAGAGCGGAGAATGCAGTTCCATATCAAGAGATTTCTAACTAAACATAAATCAAAAAGCAAAATAATCAATTAAGAAAAACAGAAGAGATGCATAATCGACTAAGTTACAGCTTCAACAACCCGTTTCACATGTCAATCAGAATACCGATAACAATAAGGGCAACAAAGAAAAGCCATACCTTTCTTGGAGCTGTAAGCGTACCATCCACATCAAATAAAGCAATCACACCAGGCTTCCTTATAGCCATTGTTATTATAATGCTTCCTGCCACCAAATCAACAAAATTGTAGAACTTCTAAACTATCCTCAATACCATGTGGACCTAATTGCTCAAAAGCGAAAAGTAAACAAGATGCATCTGAATTCCACTGAATCAACTCGGTTTCTGCGTATACTAGGAGAGTGACGTTGTGAACTCTACCAATTTTGTTGAAACCCGAGTTCAGATTCTGTAGCGAGATGAAGTCGACTCGGCAGATTCGAGTCGAGTATCAATAAGTGAGCCCCCATGGATGTGCAAACGAACTCCGAGACGCACTACGAAATTCGTACTAGTCGACTCAATTCAGTTTGGTTGTTGTATGCACAAAACCGAAACGTTGATTTCACAAAATGAAGCCCAAACATACAGTGGATACTGCTGGAACAGGGGAATTAGAAGGGAGACGTTTCGATACAAGGCCAGTAATACAGAAACATACAATAACAATCCACCAAGGGAACATGAAAAAACAATAGAAAGAATGCAGGAATGCAACCGCTCGAATTGCGCCGAAAGCAAATATCAGCTCCAAATCTACGCTAAGAAGCAGAAGAAAAGAAAAGGAAAGGAGGAATGTACCTCTAGTAATTCAACGAAATGGATGTGGCGCGAAATTCCTCCACAATTAGCGGGTTTCTCTGGATACAGTTGCAATCGCGGCAGATGGTTAAATGGTGTTGAGTTGAGCGCAGATCTACAGACTTGTTTAATTTAACTAACACTCTCCTTCTTCTGAGTGTAGGTGCACTGTAGAACGTAGACAGCCAGATCTGGAGACTAACGATTAACGAACACTATCTTTTCTTGTTGAAGGCGCACTTTAGAATTTTTATGATTCGATGTGACATTGATGTTCTTTCGTAGATATATATGCAGAATGGATAGGAGAAGAAAATCGTCCGATATCCTTCTTTGACGGTTGTGCGTCTGACAGTAGCAATTTTTGGTTTTGGTCCCAAACCCAATATCAACAAAAATAATATTTTTAATATAATTTTTAGAATAAATTAACTTTTTAAAAAAATATCAAATAAGGGCAGTTCACCTCCATCGGACCTCTAAAATAACGAGATGACACTTGTTCAATCGAGCACCGATGAAGGGATGGTAATGAACTGCAGCAATAATTGGTTTGGTGGGCCTTCGACACTACATGCACAAGACCTGCCGAATCTTCAATAGATGAAAACCATGGAATTTAGATTTTAAACTGTCCAGAACTAAAAAATAAATAGATGCAAAGATAAAGATTGAATCATGATCAACAATCTTGACTTGTATTAGCATCGGAACTTGAATCTTGAATATATGGATTACATATAAAACTTGGACCTTTTCACGGTATAAAAAGTAGAAAAGAGAAAAATCAAAGATAAAATTGAATCTTTGGGAATAATAGGAGATTGAATTTAACTCTGTATTGGCGGAAATTTACAGCACCAAACCGAGATAATGTCGGAATGATAATCAGAAGTCAGAACCAATCTGGGCATAGAGTGCTTGCTCAGCTGCAAGACCTCTCTAGGGTTCCGGTTGCATTGAGCATGAGAGAGGAGTTAGGGTTTTTCCACGACTAGAAACGAGGTATGTGTTTTCTTGAACTCGCATACATGGACCTTTCACTAACAATAAGGGCTGTCACGTCATTTAATGTCTTCAGCTTTCAAAATTAATGGAACTCGCCTCTTAATAACATTTTGCCGTTTGGGTCCTAAGCACCGTTTACAACAGAGCAGAGCGGAGATGGAGAAATCACTGTGAGAAATCACCTTAACTCTCCTTCTTTGCTTTGCTCTGCTGTGAACGGTGAGAATATGCTTTGAATTTGGAATAACTTAGATGTAGAGAAGAAGAAGAAGAAAGGAGAGAGACCGGAGGTGGGTGAGATTAGAGGAGGAAGGAAATTGCCCTTATAGTATATTTTTTCAAAAAAGTTAACCTATTAAAAATATTAATTTTATTGATATTAGGGCCCAAAAGTTGACCTCTTTTGATAGAATCCCAAAGATAAAGCAAAGAAGTAATAAATTTGTCAACATTTGAGTTTGGATTAATGGCCTGCTTTTCTCTATATGGTTGTGTTTTAGACACGCCGATCTGTGAGAATACTGGCCTGGTCAATTATCATCTATATGTCTATGTTTGGAGAGAAGCTATTTATCTAATTTTTTTTCATTTTTTTTTTATTTTCCAATGCCTCTTATTTTAATATATGTTATTATTATATTTAAGAGAGAGAGAGAGAGAGAGAGAGAGAGAGAGCTTTGGGTTTTTCAATGCCTCTTATTTTAATGCATGTTATTATTACATTTAGAGAGAGAGAGAGAGAGAGAGAATAGTAATAATATTGAGGGTGTTTGGTTCCGTTTATATTTATGGGTGGTCGTTAATCTGTGCCTTTTCACTTTAAACATTTTGATGGTGCACGATCTGGTCACTCCTAGCTAGAAGTGGATGCGCTCCTACCTGGCGACGAATGAGAGATACCTGCGAGGAAGAAGATGAAGGAACTCGGGAGGCACACCTGATGGGAACACTCCGATGGTTAAGTTAGTAACCGGATTGAAAGCTGGGAGAGAAAGAGAGAGAGAGAGAGAGAGAGAGAGAGTTGTAGAGAAATTAAAGAGCTAGAGTGATGATCATGCAATACCTTCGCCCCTGGGGGTCGGGGTCCTTATATACTAGTATCCTAACATGTTAGGTACAACCACTTCTAAATCTCTACTGCGGCGATCTGCTGTCAGATAATGGCTTGGAGTGGCTAGCCGTTATTTGTCAGAGCTGAGCTGGCGGGCAAAGGTGATCGCTGTAGAGTACGGTCCTGCCAGACAAGAAACAACCTCCAGGGTTGGCAGGCACGACATCAGCAGGCGGGAGACGTGGGTGCAGTCTCTAGGTTTGGTAGGTACAGTTGTTAGGCAGAAAACCCCCTGCAATACACCGAGCTTCTCTGTAGCAAGATACCTTACACCGAGCTGCTGGTGATGCACCGAGGTGCTTCTACTCGAGGCAAGTCTCTGAGGTAGCCTACTTAGTTTTGGATAGGAGTGAGCTTATTCTAGTTAGGGAGCTAACGAGCTTAACCCGAATTCCTTCAGTTCGGGGTGCTCCCTACTTGGGAGAATCTTAGCTCGGGGTGCTCCCTACTTGGAAGAGTCTTAGCTCGGGGCAACGGAGTATTATCTCGTAGTGAGTTACCATTTGTGGCGAGCTGTCAGGCTGGGTTATAGCGAGCTCGTTACGTTGAGTTGTAGCAAGCTCGTTATGCTGAGTTGTCACTTATGTCGAGTCACGTCCACGTGTCCGATTATTATGAGGTCAGGCCAAATCGCCCTCCATCAATTGCCCCCCACTCCCTGGGCCAGGGGTCCTGACCTGGTGCGGGGAGTTCTCGGCGTGACGGGTGGATTTGGCTCGAGGTTCAGGTCGTCTAGTCAGATAGTTCGTCAGTCGGACCAATTCGGCTGCTTTGCTCAACCATGTATAACTCAGGTCGCGTGCGGTTTACGCGCGGATGTCACACGATCTATAGACTCCGCAGACGCCAAAAACACGCTAAACTGATTTCGACCTCGAGGGTCGTGCAACCAGTTTTCTCAGGAACCGTTATATCTTCTTGATCTCGACCGTTGATCCCATGACCTTGTGGCTATAAATAGGGGGGACCCGAGTCATTTTCTCCACCATAAGTTTACTAGCACTCGCCTTGTGGTCGCGGTTAAAGTCCTCGGCTCGGGTTTTCTAGTTCATCAGTCTTTCAGTTTGGTCTCTCTTCTTGGTGAGTCTCCCTAGCTTCTCTTTTCAGTTCGTTTTAGTTCAATAGTTATGTCAAACCATAGTTTCGATAGCCTTCTAGATGAGCCCGAGGTGGGTACCTCGGCTCAAGTGGGCCTTTCCGAGGTGCAATCCTCTTATGAGGCGCGGGAGGCCTTAGATAACCCGGCATCCATCTCTTCTTGAGGTCGGGTGCTAGACAAGTTCACTCCCTCAACCATGACCGTAGATAGACTTAGGGCCCTAATACATAAGTACAACCTCCCGAGGGAGTATACCTATAACCTTCTCGCGGGCAACTTCCCTTGGGAACATGATCATGATGAGATCGTGATCCTCGGAGAACGGCCTACGGCTGGATTCCGTCTTCCTCTACACTCCCTAATCATAGAAGTCTTGAAACACTTCGATGTCACCATAGACCAACTTCACCCGAACTCCATCTGGAAGGTGGTCGGGACAATTTCCCTTTGCTTTGACTATGCCCTGCCCCTCGACCTCGACATTTTCTCATATATTTTGTCAATAAAGAAGAATGCTTCTGTGTCCTTCCCGAGTAAAGGCGGACCCCTATTACTTGTTCCCTCGCCTGGGCTACAAACTTTTACACGACCTCCCTAGTAAAATCCTGGCCTGGAAGTGGGATTATTTTGTAGTCCGCAATCCCGTGGGGTGGCCCTTCCCAACTCATTGGAGGGTGACCATTCAGGACTCCGACATTAGGTTGGACTTGAAAACAAGGGAGATGCTCCAATCTTGGGCGGAGGTTGGCCTCAACTACAAGGATTATGTCGCCGAGGACAAGCTCGTACAGGCCGGCCTGAGTCCTCGTAGGTCACCTTGGTTTAGAGTTAGTATTTTACCTCAGTAGCTGGTATTTCTTCTTGGTAGCATCGCTAATGTCGAGTTTTATTGCAGACCCCTTGCAGTAGCTCAGCGCGGACAAGCTCTTCGGAAAGATGAAGGGAAGGAAGAAGCGGGCTGCTAAAAGAGCTCACGTCGAATCTCTGCGGCCCCCTACTCCCGAGCCCGAACAACCTCCAAGCTCTCCTCAAGTGATCGACCTGGTCGAGGAGCCGGAGAGGAGCCCTCATGCACCCGAGGTGCCCTCGGAGCCCATTCCTTCTATAGCTGCAGTTTCTTCGGGCAGCGAAGGGGCAGTTCGGAGTATTTTGACTCCAGAATACAGCCTCCATAAAAGCAAGGGAGCGGTATATGCTTATGAAGTCACGAGCTGGTCAGAGCTATCGATCGCCCAGCTCGGAGCTCGAGCCGCTACTCATTGCATGGTGGTAAGTCTTGTTCTGCCTTGATTTCTAGTTTTGAAGCCTTGCCGGTACTAACTAGTATTCTCTTGGCAGGTGAACTCCGTTGTGCACGCCCTAACCCTCCAGTCCGAGATGCACTTGAAGCGGGCCTTGGCTGCCGAGAGCTCGTCCCGCGAGGCTCACACCGAACTGAAGTTAGCTCGCGGTCAGATCCACCGGCTAGAAAGTGACGCGATAGCTCAGAAAGAGTATATCAAGGTGTTGATGTCGGAGAAGGAAGATTTGTTGCGCCGGGTGGAGAGCCTCGAGGCCGATGTTAAGGAGCGAACAAAGATCCTCCTCAAGTCTATGGACGAGGCCAAGGTGAAGGCCGTTGATGACTATAAGAGCTCGGAAGAGTTCGATGGAGCGTTGGTGGAGGCCTACCGCAATGGCTTCAAGCTCAACAGGTGGCTAATCAAGTGCGAGTTCCCGCAGCTCGATGTAAGCGCCATCACCACTTCGCGAATCACTGAGGAGGTAGCCCTTCTAGCTGCTAAGGACCTGGACTCCAAGGAGGTGGGTGATGATGACATTGGAGAGGCCAATGTCGTTGATCAGGCTGGTACTTCTGCGAAGGCTTCGGCCAAGAGTGACGAGTCCCCTAAGTAGTCTGAGTGGTCTTTTGTATTTTGAGCCTGCGAGCTCGGCATTTTTTGTTCCTTTTCTGCCCTTGTAATGAATTACAAAATTATTGAAATACTCTTTTAGCAAAGTGTCAAGTAATTACCTCCTTTTTGATCATAATTATGTAATTTTCTAAGAACTATTGAGTCATTGAGCTAGGGGTTCCTTAGCTGTTACCCCGAATTGCCACCCCATACTTA